TATGTTTGTTACCTTGAAGAAGCGTGGTATGTTTGTTACCTTGAAGAAGTGTGGTATGTTTGTTACCTTGAAGAAGCGTAGTATGTTTGTTACCTTGAAGAAGTGTGGTATGTTTGTTACCTTGAAGAAGTGTGGTATATTTGTAATCTCAAAAGTGAATGCGGCTAGATTATGAAATTAAAAGCGAGTAACAGTTTCAAAATCTTAAACTTAAGTGATAATTTATCATATTGAAAGTGGATAAATGCTCATAATCTTAAAAGAGTGAAATACAAGATAGGTTAGAAAAATTGGCTTTGCGTTGATAGTCTATATTCTAAAAAACAAAATTGCACATAAGTTTTATCCAAATCATGACTAGATAACTTTAAAAACTCATTTTCTTTGTACTGCATGTTTTCGATCGTCATAAAGAGAGGGCCTGGCTTGGCCTGTTGATTAGTGTGTAGACCTGCGGAACGAGGGTCCAGAATTCGAGATGTGATGCCGCTGAACATTCTTCGCAATTTCAACTGTGGGTTCACTATAAAACTGATAATCAAACCCGTTATTCGGTCCAAAGCCCTTGTGGCGGCGGGTGCTGATAGCTGGCTTTCTTCACTCTACTCAGAAGTTCAAAATTAGGGATCACTTTACCTAAACCCTAGGGGTCTCTGGCCTGATTGTTCAGCTCACGTGTCACAAAATGGCGTTAAGGTGAAAATATAGTAATGAATATATTGTTACCATACAGGGATACAGTTCTAGCTTATACTTAGAAAGCCTTGTAATGGATACATTTTAGCTTCTATTGGAGAATATAGAGATGGGCACATTTTGGGTAAAGTTTACTACACGGTGATCAAAGCTGGGAAAGAATTGATTAACATTTGGGCCAAATGACCTTCCGGTGTGTTATTGTATTTATCCTTAATTCTGTCAACTGATCATTGGAAGAGACTTGTTGAAAAATGCTTAACTCAGTAAGAGTAAAGTCGATAAATTAGCTAGTTGGTGACGTCATCATTTGACTCATCCCGACGATCAGTCGCCTTCGAAGTAGCGGAGCGTAAAACTTCTGGAAGAATGATCCCCGGAATATTTAAAGTACTGAATCGGAATTAACACTACTTTCCTATAATAGATAGACATGCTTTACCTACTTACGTTAAGCTATCTCATATTAAAAGTTCCCACACACAAATGTATTTAATCGTATTAACTGCTTAACTATAACGTATAAGAAGGTAAAGAACATTTGTATAAACGTTTTTAGTGATTATTTTCAAAAAAGCTCTTTAATAATATCCAATTACAATATCATGTATTTAAACTTAAAACAAAAATTCTTAATTCCGGAAAATTTGTTTTTTTCGGTTGCCGAAGATGCATATAATGTTTTCGTTTTTGGAGTCAATACGACTACGATTTCCTGTTAAAGACAATATTTGCGTATAACTTAAATTTAAAATATCATAGATGAAGCTAAACTCATTTATAGTTATTTTCAAACTATCATGAAATTAATGTTTCGCTTTCATATTTGTAGGTTAATTGTAAAAAAACAAACAAAAAAAAACTATTATTATGCAAAGTTTGTAAATGATGTATGTTTCCTTTTCATTGTTTTTTTTTCTGATTTACTGAAATATTTTAGTATAAACACACGCACAAACGTTGTTCAGGGATTCATTCTAATCGTCTCAAGAAGAAGCAAGCTGGTTACAGCATCTCTCGTTTCGTAACCGTAGTCGTTGGTGGATTTCTCCATGTTTTACTCTCCACTGATTAACGTAAATAACACTTATTTCAAGAGCTAGTGTAGTGATGAAGATCTTAAGGCAATATTGATTAGAAGGAAAACAAACAACACAACTTTTTTAATATTCTAAAGGAGTAAATGTCTTACCTTTTTAGGCTATGAGTGGAAAGAACGATACACACAAACATTAACATAGGAGTGAATATTAGACGTCGTCTGTCATGCCCAGCCCAAGAGATGTTAGCGTAAAATACCATACAGCGGCACACACTTTCGCAAGCTAACTGTTATAAGCTGACGCTTTAGCAAAACGTGTGTCAGCGCCATCTAGGTTAAGAATAAAATTATTTTACTTGTTATTCTTGTTTGTTTTCTTTAATATTAGTTTTTTCATTGCTTTTTCTGGCACATTTAGGATATGAAAATATACCAAATAAATCTACACGAGTAAAATATGAAAATGCACAAAGTATTTGTAAGCACTTCAACTTTTTTTATAGTGTGCTTTTGGGGAACTTTCTAAGAATGATACAAACTTCAGTTGTCAAATGTCAATCTTTCTATTAACAACTCTCAAACTTCAAACAATCATCACATATGTAAGAGCAGATAAAATGACAATACAGGTTACAAAGGGAATGTTAACCACTTCTATAAATTGCAAATGTTTGATATCTCCCCTCCTCAAACATTAATTTTGTTGGTGCATTTTAAAATCAAAATTTGAAAGAATTTGGAATATCTGGTGCAAAGAAAAACTCATTTCCTTTCCTTTATATGTATCATGTATATTAACACCCTGCACCTTAAAACGTAGGGTTCGTCAAATATAGAAATATCTTTATTCTTAGTTTCAACTGTGATATGTGGTTTGTCTTTAATTGTTTTCAGGAATTTAATTATACGGGGTTTATGCTTGTTTCATTATTACCGAGAAAAGAGTTTTTATATTTAGACAATCACTTGAACTTTTTATGGAATTACCATGGAAATTGTTTTAAAAATCTGATAGAATCATGTAGTGAATCTTACAAAATTATTTTACACAACAAATGCATATTAAGAGTTTTAGAACAAGATAAACTGGATTCTGCAACGTCATCATTCATATGTGATTGAGTCAGATGTCATATTTGCATTGTGTGTTTATTTGCTAAAATAATACGTTGGCTTATATCAAGTTTTGTTGAATTTCGCGCAAAGCTACACGAGGGCTATCTAGGCTAGCCGTTCCTAATTTTGAAATGACGGCAACTGATCAACATCACCCATCTCCAACTCTTGTGTGACTGAATAGTGTGAAATGACTAACACTCTTATAACGCACCCATGGCCCCATAGTGTGTAATGCGATTTTTCTTTTTTGTTGGTCTCAGAACATGAGCCACGAAACTTCAGATCAGTAGTTAATCACTTGGCGCGCTGTATAAAGAACAATTTTATACTAATCAACTTGTTCATCGATATGTGTGTACGTAAGTATTAGATACAGAGGCGTCGAACCGCACTTTTACATATTTTACTTATGTAGCAACTGTGAATTATGTTATTATATTAATTTTATGGGGGGAATGCCCTCAGATCGCCTAACTTGAGCTGTCTTTGGCAGCACGGGAACTTCTTTTAGCAGCTTCTTATACTTTCACTCTCTCATTGTAAAAACTACATGTTTAGCCAATCACTCATACTTTGTAGCTCCTCCCTACATCATTGATATGCATACATGTTTGATAGTATGTATGTATATTTATTATTCACAACGTATGAATTCAAGCTTAAAAGACAATACTGATGAAAGTATCGAGCTTAAGCCGATATTCAACACCATATCTTAGAATAGGTACGAAGATATATTTACTAAGAATAACACATAATCATCCTTCTAAATTCCCAAGGATTTTGGCTGAATTATTTTGTCTTTTCCTTTGGTGTTTTTGTAATGAATTGAGCATCGAAATCGAAACTAATTTTTTTTAATGAATCACAACAATATTATTTTGGGATTCCGTCTATATAATTAAATATTTAACTGATATATGTAGTACTACAATAAAGACACATATTGTAAGCTTATCTGTACCATCTCCTTTCCCGACACTCAGTATATGATGCCGGAAATGTTATCTGTACGAGTGGGAAGACATGCAGTTAGGATCTAACCAAGAAAAACAAACAGGGAAAGCTTTTGAGAACAGGTGTGATCAACAGTATAACACGAGAGTAAACTGAAAATCGTTTCACTAGGAAAAAAAGAAAAGCACAGGTTGTCCATCTTGTGAAGAAGCTTAAATAAATAATGTAACTTGTTTGTATTTAAGCACAAAGCTACACAATGGGCTATCTGTGCTCTGCCCACCACGGGTATCGAAACCCGGATTCTAGCGTTGTAAGTCCGCAGACATACCGCTGTGCCACTGGGGGGCAGAAGCTTAAAAGAAGTAACATTAGAGAAGCGACTTTGGTTTTGGTTTTGTTTGTTCACTGGATGCAGAATCTGTGCTGTTATAATTCACGACATTTCACTTATAGTCTACTGACTCTAGTTCATACACGATACCTCCTTAGTTGAAGATAAGATGCTGGTGGTTTGCTTACTCATTTGTTGTTAAGCGCAGAGTTACACAATGGGCTATCTTTGTTTTGCCCACCACGGGTATCGAAATCCGTTTTGTAGCATTATAAGCCTTAAGACTTATTTCTGAGCTACTGGGGTCGGTGCTGATAGTTGTATAAGAAACTTCATAGACTGAGAGGTGGTGGAAGGTTTATTTGTATATTTGAGACGAAAGGTTCCATGCAGAATACGAAAATGATAGCCTTAGCTGCTCCAAACTGTGAAAAAGTCTCAAAAATACCCTCGAATATTTCAGGATGAACTTCAAAAATCCAAATTATTCAATCCATAATCTAAGATTATTTTTTCATTTAATAAAAGAATTGTGCGCATACTATGATACTTTGATTTAGAAATTTTTATTGTCATGTGAGTGAAATTATGTTTTAAGCCTAACACAACCTACGTGTAGAGAGTAAAACTTTATCAAAGACTAAACAATTTAAAGCACAGTATACTAATGCGAAATGGAACTATGTAAATGTTAATAATGAGTTTGACAAAATGTTCTAATAAATTCTAATGACATACTTGTCAAATGGAAAATCACGCGTCAGTTCGCATTCTATGGGTGCAAAAAAGGTCACCAAAATACAGAGTGTAACAAATACCTAAGGTTTATTTTACCATTAAAACTTTTCCAAGAGCAAGCAGGATAAACGTGTCTAATAGGAAGTTGAAGAGGTATCCTGGATAAGGTTAGTATTATCATCTAAGAAATGTAGGCTTTCTATACTCATATTATACATATTTTGCAATTATTATTTATCATTATTTCGCAGACACACTCACTTAAAAAGTTTCAGGAAATTACAACAGGGCCAAAATACAAGTACTGTATTACTTGTCTCTATTGACTTACACAGGTTTTTGTGGTAGGTTGAGTTGATCGCTGTGTGCTGCATTACCTGCAATTCATGCGTTTACAGACTGTGATTACACTGCAATATTTATCTAAAAAGAAAAACTTCAACCTTTAGAAATTGTGGATAAGTCCCCTTGTTATCTTCTTGCTTGTGCCAGGTTTGATGTGTCTTATGAGGTGTTAGGCAGTATTGAAGCTGACCTGGGATTACTTGTGTGTAAATTGTATGGAAGTCAACTCTAACTTAAATAAAGGACGCGTGTTATGTAATCCTCAGGACGAAATACGTACCAACAAATCAAATTCATCCCCTGGCAAAGCTAAAAGGTGTAGATCTAACTATTCTTTCCCCCTTTCTAGCCTGTTCTCTATCAGAGGATATTGAGAACGAATCTAGTCGTTTCACTTTGTCAAAAGCAGATTTGGCAGTCCCAGTAGAAGTAGACTCAGCGAAAAGCCGTTGGGAACTGATAGACGGTTGTCCCACAATCAAATGTTTTCTGGTTCCCAAAATCCCCAAGGTATTTATCAGACCACTGACAACTCAACTATACCTCCTGAAGCGGAGGTTTTAATGATGATGAGTTTGAAGAGGAAGCCTTCTCAGATGAATTGGGTCATGGGAATTAGGATTAGAGGTGAAGATTCCTCTGTTAACGGACTATAAGAGTTGATTCCGTTAACTAAACGTCTAGTGATCCTATTCAAGAACTTTAGGCAATCATATAAAAATAATACTTTCATTCTGGGTTCGTAACTTTCTGGAACTTGGAATGGTGTGCTTTGGGCATGACAGCCTCCAGATGGAGCTTTTGCAATGGAAGCTATGCTGTAAGAACATTGTCAAAATGCACGGTCGTCAGATAGAATATGACCAGACATAGCAACATGGACTGTAACGACGTGGTGAGGTTACCAAATCTTTTAATATAACGTACTCAATCTTCTGTAGTTGTCCATCTTTATTTTCTCTTTAATTTCAGCATCATATAATTCTTTCTAAAGCATCACACAACCTGCTAGGCACAAAAAGTTCATCAGTGGCATACAGTTTCAGTTTGTCAATGTGTTCAACACACTTATGCATGCGGTGTGAACACTGTAGTAGATATTCTGTTGGACTGAGTTGCTAGAGAACAAGATAAAAAACCAAGTTAGAGTCAAGTTGCTTCCAAGACGGTGGTATGTATCAAAGTTATAACCAGTCTCTTTGTTTGAACATTCCTTCCTTTGCTGTCTTTTCATAAAATCTCTTCTGCCATATGACATCCTTTCCTAGTTTTTGATGTGCAACTTCATATGAGTCAAGCAATGTAGACCGCAACCAGTCACATATTCTTGTGGATAATGTGGCATATCTGCTGTACATACACAGAAAACTGTATTTCTCAGCCACATGCAAGTACGATTGGCAAACAACCAGTCAACTTCTGTACTTTTGCATGATACACCATCATGACATATGGTAAGTGTTCATTTAATTCATCTCAGTGGGGATTAACAAGCTTTACAATCATCTACTTGATAGCCTGTATTATCCATTCTGACACACCATTCAACTGGGAGTGATATGGTGAAGTGTGCATCTTCACCACATGCAACACTTCGCGCATCTCAGAAAATAACTGACTGTTGAAATTATCTCCTTGGTCCATGGGACGTTCTTCAGGTGCTGCAATCACGCTATCCATTGTTCAGACAATACATCAACAAAGGACTGTGCTTATATATAGACCAGTAGGTAAGCTTTGGCCCACTTAGTGAGGTAATTGTTAATGAACATCCCATACTAATTACCTC